TCATTGACTTACAATAAATTAGGTTTTTGAGGGAAGCCTTTTTATGTGTGTAGCCTATTTTCTTTTTCTTTTGTTTTTTTCTTGTATTGCTTTGGGCAACATCCTACCAGGTATATCTGGTGGCACCTCACTCTACATTATATTTTGGTGGACTCCCTGGCCTTTTTCTCCTTTTTGTAACACAAGTAGCAAAGCAGAACTCAACAAGGGCCCATTCACACTTGCAGGCGATGCTTTCCATATGCTTTGCATAGTCTTGCACATATAAGAAAATATGTTAGTACAGATTTGTATTTAAAGCTGAAGCATAATCTGCTTGAAGTTTTCTTTACTTGGTTCTTACCACCCCCATTCATCATGATACTAATCCTCCCCCTCCTCCAGTCTTCAGTCTTGGCAGAGCTCTTTGGCACATCTGTGCATGCGCAGAAGATTTCTCGATCAAGCACAAGGATGGCAAAGTATTGGGGCTTCCGCAATAGACATCTTTGTGCATGCGCAGATGTGCTTGGAAACCCACGTTTGTAGATGTGCTGCAGGGCTCAGTCAGGTCCTGAAGCCCTGCGGCACATCCGTGCATGCTGAGAATCCAGGCAGATAAAGGGAGGGGAAATGGAATTCTTGCCTAGGCTTTGAAACACAAAACAATCTTTTCAATACGTATAAACAAAACAAAAAAAAAAAAAAAAAAAAAGTACTTAAAATTGTGAGAGAGGGAGGAGAAGGCAGGGAAATATGAGTTAGTTTAAGGTTCACGTCTGCCTTAAGTTTTTATATTGTTGTATGTTGCTATGCTTTAATTTGGACATTATAAGCAACGTACAGCATAGTAGAAGCCTGAATACACTTTTTGATGCCTCTAATATGTCAATAGAAAACTTATTAAATGCTTCTCAGCAGAATGTTTAGAAAGCATTTGAGAAGCTTCTGTTTTTCTTTATCCCGACATATTCCACTACTAACAGGTACCGGAAAAGCTTGTCAAGCACTTGAACACATTAAAAATACAATCACTGGCCACTTTATTAGGTACACCTTGCTAGTACCGGGTTGGCCACCCTTATGTCTTCAGAACTGCCTTAATTCTTTATGCCATAGATTCAAAAAGGTTTTGGCCACATTCCTCAGAGATTTTGGTACATGTTGATATGATAGCATCACGCTGCAGATTTGTCGGCTGCACATTCATGATGCGAATCTCCCGTCCCACCACATCCCAAAGGTGCTCTATTGGACTGAGATCTGGTGACTTTGGGGCCATTGGAGTACAGTGAACTCATTGCCATGTTCAAGAAACCAGTTTGAGATGATTTGAGCTTTGTGACATGGTGCATTATCCTGCTGGAAGGAGCCATCAGAAGATGGGTACACTGTAGTCATAAAGGGATGGACATGGTCAGCAACAATATTCAGGTAGGCCTTGGCATTTACACATTGCCAATTGGTACTAAGGGGCCCTAAGTGTGCCCAGAAAATATCCCCCACGCCATTACACCATCACCACCAGCCTGAACTATTCCAGGATGGATCCATGCTTTTATGTTGTTTACGCCAAATTCTGACCCTACCAACTGAATGTCACAGCTGAAATCCAGACTCATCAAACCAGACAACATTTTTCCAATCTTCTATTATCCAATTTTGGTGATCCTGTGCGAATTTTAGCCTCTGTTTCCTGTTCTTAGCTGACAGGAGTGGCACCTGGTGTGGTCTTCTGCTGCTGTAGCCCTTCAAGGTTCGATGTGTTGTGCAATCAGAGATGGTATTTCTGACATCAACAAGGCATGTTCATCCACAAAACCGCCACTCATTGGATATTTTTTGGACCATTCTCTGTAAACCCTAGAGATGGTTGTGCATGAAAATCCCAGTAGATCAGCAGTTTTTTAAATACTCAGACCAGCCCATCTGGCACAAACAACCATGCCACGTTCAGAGTCACTTAAATCCCCTTTCTTCACCATTCTGATGCTCGTTTTAAACTTCAGCAAGTCGTTGTCGCCAAGTCTAGATGCCTAAATACATTGCGTTTCTGCCATGTGATTGCAATTTGTCTTACCAAGCAATTAAACAGGTGTACCTAATGAAGATGCCAGTGAGTGTATGTGTTATTGCTTGATAAACACATGGGGAGACTGGTAGGCTGCTGTATGGACTATTCCTAATAAAGTATGCGTTGGGTAGTTTATATTAGAGAACTTGTCTAAGCACAGTAGATTTATGCCTATAGGTGGCTTTTTCCAGTATAGTTACCCCTCAAAAAAATGTTTTCACCATTAATAGAAATACAGTCCTTCTATATAACTTACACACTGCCACAATACTCTAAGCCAGGTTGGGTGCCAAAAGGTGAGTGCCTAAAGTATTTAGTGACAGAAAATTGGGCTTTGTGGAATCTGGTTTCTTAATAGTGCTAAGGCTGTAATTGTGGAAGGAAAAAGAAGAGTATGTGAAGTCACATCTATTCGTGTGCAATTCCAGTAGCCTGCCCATGGTCCACCTCATTGCTCTTCCAAATGCTCCTTATTCAATATGACACTTCTCCAGTGCAGTCCCTGTATGACTGAACCTCTGCCCTCATACTGCCAGCTGCCTGCCCTGCAAATATATCAGGGCTTGTGCTACCTGCTACCTGAAGTGCCATATGGGTGGTACACAACCATCATACAAACAACAGATAGTGCTAGCCCTGGCCCTCCCTTGTGAAGGGCCCATGCTGGTCGGTTAGTTGGCTCCCACCCAGATATGCCCTATTGTGTGTCCCCAAGTGTAAGACTGCATTAGGGAACTTTAGGGGTAATTCTTTTATGTAATCTTCTTTGGAATAGGCTGGTGCTATACAAATAAAGTCAAAAATATGACAACACCATGCCTAGGAATTATACTCAGTGGGCCCCATCAAAGGCTGCGGAGTAAAAAAATAGCTAAATAATATTTCACATCACTAAAGTATCTATATTTAATACGATTACAGCACATTGGGCAGTGCTATTTTCTAGAACTTGGGTGACTTCTTATCCAGCAATCACAAACACCACATTTATTTAGGAAATTTTCATTTTTTCTTTATATAATACAGTTAAAAGTGATTAGATTAAAAAAAAAAACCCTATTTAAAAGGCCTATTTACATTTGAAAAAGCTTGTTTCTAAGTATAGTTTGTAATTATACATGTACATGGGTGCACCCTATTTATCAGATAGAAAGGCTCTGGTTACTGATTTGTAATGCTGCACAATGGATGTGCTTTACTGCTCCAGTGTCTCTATACAGGTCTACCAGTCAGGTCTGACTCACTGAATTAAATGCACCATCTATGTGGTTGATATCATAATCCTAAAAGCTGCTTTCTGAAAGCAAATGCAGTGAAGATAGTCACTAAAAGTATCTACCAATCTCTATATTTAAAGGAGAGCTGTGCTTTAATTAAAAAAATAAATAAATAAAACCCTTATATGCACCACCCCCCCCTTGGGTAGTAACATGCAGTATGGCTCCCCTCTACATTGCCCGGCTTCAGTGGTGGTGGGCAGCATTTTATCAGCAGTTTTCTCTCTAGGTGATGTGCTCTACTGCACCGGCACGACTACATGCTCCATAAAGATGAATGCCAAGGTTCTCCCATTCATCGGCCATCGGTTCATTAACATGAAGTTATTTTTGTGCTCGTTTCACTGGCCCTTTAAACTGACACTCCTGAATTTCTATTAGCGTGTTTACAACAGGGATACATCACTGCAATACATGTTTCACAGTGCTGTAGGATTGCTGAAGCCTGTGGTTTGGTTATGTGGATCAGGTACGGTTCTGACAACAGTATAGGAGAACAATATATGCAGATATCCAGCTTTGATATAGCACTGTGTTCCTGCTGGAAAGGGAACGTACGAAGTTCAAAGTGAAATAAAAATATATAGGCTGAATATTTTCCTACACACATAAGTAGCGGGTCTCCATTTCTGTTTTTCTTTCCTTGCAGTCACTTTTATATGGAAATGTAACAAGAGGAGGGTGAATATTTCCATGCGAATCATTGCAGGAAGACGTAGACACAATAGGATGCAAGGCTACTATGCAGCTGTTCTCCCTGCCATATAGTGCTGCAGGCAGGAACTGTTCTGTCATGTCTCTTTCCTCCGGGAGCATCTTCCAATCAGGAAGTGTCAGCCCCATGTGACCCCGGGTCACACACAATATACCTTCTCAATAGGGCTATTCTGTGCTCCGATCAGCGCTGCTCGTGTCCTAGAGGCACACTATGTTACCAGAAATAGAAGCAGGGACCGATGGCACTGCAATATTTTAGTTTAATTAAAGAGCAGTTCAAGGCAACAAGTGCAAGCAATGAATGTTGTCAGGATACAAAGCTAAAGTCTGAAAATATACTCCTTTTACTCAAAGTATATCTTTACAGAAATCCCCCTACCCCTTCCATAAATGCTGACTACCCAGCTCACTTCAAATGATAAGAGGCAAAAATGATATAAAGATTACTTTCCCTAGTTAGGAACTGGGGTTGAGGGTCAAGGCTTAGGTCCACATGAATCTGAGCTTTAAATTATACTAAGACAGCCCATAAATGATTTGATTTTCTTTCCTTCATTCATGGATGGAAGGATAGAAAATATCCTGATTCCTCCATCAATACAGTGTTGATGAGAGAATGCCTCCCACTGAGCTATTGTGTGCTGCCAGCAAGCGGGTGGGGGGGAAGGGGGTGCAGAAGCCTTCTTGTTGGCAGAACACAATGATTACTGATAGTGATTATTGCTGCTGGCAGTAATCACATGTTAACCACTTGCCGTCCGCCTGCTGTTTATAAACGGCAGGGCGGTGGCAGTCCAGGGGCGGGTTGCCGTTCATAAACGGCACCCGCCTTTTCTAGCTTTTCGATCCGGTGCCCGCTGTGTCCTCCGGACACAGTGAAACACCGATCGTCAGACGGGACCTCTGTACGAGGTCCCGATCATCTGATCACTGATTGGCCAATCAGTGATCACATGCAAAGTAGTAAGCAAGATGTCACTTGTGACATCATTGCTTACTACGTGTGAAATCTGTGAATGATCACAGAGGTCACATGGTACAAGGCTATTCACAGCAGCCTTGTACCATGTGACAAGCTGTGACCAATCACAGCTCACTCAGCACTTCTCAATGACTGCAAGAATGCAGACAGAGAGAAAGAGAAATGATTGCTTTTACATCCTATATGGGTGTAAAAGCAATCAGTGTAAAAAAAAAAAAAAAAAAAAAAATCTTCATCACCCCCCACAAGTAGTACAGTGTCCCCATGGTGACACTGTACTGCTAGGGTGACAGTATGTAAAAAAAAAAATAAAAATAAAAAAAAATAATAATATAAAAAAATAAAATAAAAATGTAAAAAAAATTTTTTTAAAAATTATAATTTTTGGTTATAAACTAATTTGGATTTTTTTTTTTACTAAAAAAATTACGGAATAAATTTTGACCAAGATTTATGATGAAATATTATTTATTTGCAAAATTTTATTAAAAAAAAAAAAACACTTTTTTTCAAAATTTTTGGACATTTTCATTTACATAGCAAAAAAATAAAAATCCCAGCGGTGAATAAATACCACAAAAAAAAAGCTTTATCTGTCTCAAAAAAATGGTAAAAAATTCATATGGGTACAGTATTGCATGACCGCGCAATTGTCATTCAAAGTGTGATAGTGCTGAAAGCTGAAAATTGCCCTGGACAGGAAGGGGGTAAAAGTGTCCGGACAGGAAGTGGTTAAAAGATCTGGCAAGCTGGTTGTACCCAAGTTGATTGATGGATCAACTTTGGTACAATCAACCGGCCCATACATGGATTGAAATTTGTCTGGTTCCTGCTGAACTGATCAAATTTCAACGCATGTATGGCCAGCTTAGGTCTAACAAGAGAATATAACCTATTCATGGGAGTTCTGGGTGGATCTACAGGCTCTGGTCACATGTTCTAAATAATTTTCTTGGAATACTAGAGGTTGTTTAAAACCCAACTCCAGCACAATTATGTATTTATGTATTCAGCGCTGAGCGAACTGTTGGCGCTTTATAAATACTGTAATAATAATAATAATCTAGGTTGACAGTGTTGGAGCCTCTGTAAGGTGTTTTTTTATTGCTGCCTCTGGAACAAGCATGCAGCAAGTAAAGTCACAAGGATGTCAGAACTCTCGATTTTGCTTAGCTTTTTAGCCGAGCAAACAAGGGTACAAATTAACTTGGTTTGGGGGTGAGAGGGTCTCTAGCAAGATCTCAACTTTTAAAAAAACAAAAAACAAAACTTACATTCCATGGCAGCGCTAAATGCCTTTTAATTTTTTTTTTATTTCTTGGAGAGGGGAGTTGATCAAAACTTGAGAACCAGAATCTGAAGTTGCTGTGCATGGCAACCAGTTTCTATCTTTCTTTTTCAAAGCTTAAAGTGAGTGTAAAGGATTACTTTTTTTTTTTTTTAAATAACAAACACGTAACCTGATCCTCTTCTTCTGGGGTCCCCCGCTGCCGCTCTTGGCTCCTCCCCCTTGCTGAGTGTCCTCATAGCAAGCTGCTTGCTATGCGGCACTCGGGGTGGGCTTGCTCCCGAGCCATGCAGCTCAGTCCTGCCCCATCCTCACTGACTGTAATTGATAGCAAGGAGTCAATGGAGTAAGAGAGCGGAGAGAGCTCTTGACTCTGATAGGGGGGGGCTGGGGGGTGGAAGGGAGTTGCTTGCAGAAGGTTTCTTACCTTAATACATCAAATGTATTAAGGTAAAAAAAAACCTTTAGCCTTTAGAACCACTTTAACTAAACAAGCTGAAGATAGGGAAGCGGGAAGCCTACGTCAGCACGGTCCTGGTATTTATGTTGTATTAAGAATACTGATGCAAGGGGCTGTGATTGGCAGCTCAGTGCCATGCAGACTGGTGTGACCACCTATCTCCCTCCATGATCCAGTGGGTGGCTGGTGTTCCCTTTAATCCCCTTAGGGATGAGACCACCCATATCATGTTTTAACCTGCATGTGTTGCAATGTCCCTTCACAGTGTTGGTAGAGCACTTAGGAGTCTCTTTGCCTGGCTTTGGTTGGTCCTTCCCTCACCCCACTTCCCTCCAAAGCACACACAGTAGCAGCATGAGCTTGCATGTTGGCTACTTTGAGGCCAAGTGAGCATCCCTCTGCTTTCCTAAGCAACCATTGGGAAGAATTTGTGACTAATTAGAACCCAAACTCTCATAAAATAGCTGTAAGACTTTACTATCATAGCCATTTTTTTTTACTTATTAGCGGTCACTAAAAAACATCCATTGCCAGAAACTTTGGTGAGCAGATTTAGAACGTCTCCATTGTTTTTTTTTTTTTTTCAGAACCAGCCAGAAGAGGACTGGGAATATTTGGCCTTGGAAGCAGCACAACTAACTAGCCTTTCTATGGTAAGGACAGCTTCCTGTAAAGAAAGTACCACTCCAAGTGTGCAGTAATGCCAGGGTGACTGGTGGCCAAGGTAGGTGTTAAAGAACATGTGTTTTGTAACACACCTTTTTACACATATAATAAGAATATCAGATTCTAAGGAAAGAATTGTAAAAAAAAAAAAAAAAAAAAAAGTTTTTTTAGCCAAACAAGATGCTTGAAAATGAATTGTAATCATCTAAATAAAATACTAAATTTGCATGGCGGAGTATCTCCACGCGAGGCTACCAGACCAACTTATATTATTTGGGGAGGGGAGCAAATTTCACTCCAACATATCACCTGTGCTACATGAGGACTGGAATCAAAACTAAAAACATCAGAGTGTTCATCCAAGCTGCCCTTCTGTATTAAGTTCATAGGCATAAGCAGTGTAATGTAACGGGAACCCAGAAATTGGGTTTGTATTGAGCCGCTTATCAATCACTTGTGGGACATTCAGAACCAATGGTGTTGTAACCAGTTTCTTAAGCTGGCCATACACTAGTAAAATTGTATTCAATCATGTTCGTTTTAAGAACATTTGTTTAATTTTGCACTCGTTAGTGGGGTCAAATTGGTGTTAGTCTTTGAACATAGTGATGAAAAAGCAGGAAAGAAAATTTTCAACACTGTAATTCCTAACAGTGAATTTGGTTTTTGCTCACGGAAGTCCATTCACACCAAAATTGAATGTTAAAAACACCTTTTTGAACAACATTTATATAGTAATCAAATGTACTAATCAGAATTTTTGTACAAATGTTTGTTCGAAAATTCATGTATGCCCAACTTTAGACTCAATTGCATTGATTGCACCATAAGGGACGGAGCCCGTTCTCTGTGATCTAACAGGCTGGAGATATCTTTTATGGATATATAATAGCAATGGCCTGCACAGATCCTCAGCAGGTCAGAAGTGGTTGGTCACTTTACTGCTGAAAGCAAAACAGTTTAACACATATGGTGTATTGGATACTATATAACCAATGTAGGATAGCATAGGCCCAACTATCAGTTTCTAAAATAAGAATGGTTTGTATAACTTAAAAGGAACCAAGGGTATTCAGACTTCATTTGTCAACTATCAGTTTCTGGTATAGTCCTAATTGTGACTGGTTGCTGTGGGAAGATGCCGATGGATCTTATTTGAAATGACATAGTAGTGGGTTTTATTGGAAAGAAATCAGCCTCACCTGTGTTATAAACTGGATGCATTCCAGGAACATATAATCCTTGTGATTCTCATTCACCACCCTCTCATCCACAAAATGCCTGGGCTCCAGCGTAGAATGGTCTGCAAAATATTGGCTATAAGTGAAGTTATGTTCCACAATGTGCCTGCAACCAGGCAGCCTTTAAAACAACAAATGTATGTGTGCAAACCGCACTTTAAATAAAACATTTGCATAAAATAACGCATGGCAGATGCATTTGCTAGGCTAAATATTAAAAGTACAAATAGAAACTGCAGTTAGATGTCTGTATAGATTCTCCTACAAGAACTATATTCAAGATGTTCAAACACAGGACCTTCTGTTCCCACTGTGGCTACCATGTGAATGTATTAAAGTAGACCTCCAGTGAAACCACTAAATACACTGCTGATATGCATATGTAAGCTGTTTTACCTATCAAAAGATCCGTTATTCTTTTTTATTAATCCTGTGATTCCCACACCCCTGCCACACTAAACAGCCAGAGGAGAAAACCATTATTTAAAAAATGCAACCTCTGTATCACCCAGAATGCTTACTGCACTATGAATAAGTATTGCTTCCTGTCTAGGCTTCTACCTTTTTATAGGAATCCTATATTGAGAGAAAAGCCAGAGCATTCTTTAGCTAATCTGCTTTTCAAAATGCTACTTTGACCTTTTTTTAAAGATGCTGTGCATTATTTTAACTGGCCTTTTTAGGTGTCTGTACTTTGAATCGCTGAGCTATAACAAACATACAGACAATCAACACACCTGACTTGCATACTTATTCTGGGTCAGAGACTCAAAGTTTGGAAATCATTGATGCAATATAACAGCCAGGAATCTAGGATTTTCAATACAGAGAGCTGAGCAACGGCAGACTCCATATTTTTTTTAGTGCAGGATTCCTTAAAACTGAACTCTGACCAAAAACAATATTTGGACATTGTGTATTAAAAAAAATCAATTAGCACTAATAAAGTGAAGTGTGTAGTCTGCAGCATTCTGTAAAACTGTTACTTTCATTCATACGGTATAGTAAGTGCCGAACATATGGCGCTGAGACTTACACTTCCGGCTGGAGTACAGCTCTGATAGTGTGTTGTTTGCTTTGCAACTTGTCCATTCAGTAAATGTCTTGCATTGTGTTCCTACAATACAAGATGTTTTGTGAATGGTGAGGGGAGATTGTGACATACATCCGCACCTCCTCCATTAACATTTACAGGCAACCGTCTCTCAGAGCTGAAGTGTATATCTCAATTCCAGATGTTTAGTGCTTGCTATACGGTATGGGGTGAATGAAAGTAAGGATTTTACAGAAATCTGCAGCCTACACCCATGGTACACACTTCATTAGTACCAATTTATTCTTACAGTGTACATCTCCAAATACTGGTTTGGCCAGAGTTCTGCTCTAAACCCAACCTCTTCTGTCCCCCCCCCCCCCACCCATATCTGTAACTTATCAGAAAGACAAAACTCACTATGCAATGCAATAGACATTAATTGACTCATGATGCTAGTCCCCCCAATCTCAGCCTGATTTGTTGTTTGCAGGAATTATGGGGGAAGGGGGTGTTACTGTTAAGATATATTTACTTAAATGTGGAACTTCTCCTACAAGTGGAAGTTCTGTTCACCCTCCTCCTCTTCCGTCATTGGAAAAAAAATTGATTTCCTGGGAGCAGGTACCTCTTTCTGAGAGGTACCCCCTCCCACTTCTGCTTTTCTCGAACAGGCAAGAATAAAGGAAGTTGCCCCCCCCCCCCCATACACAACCTCCAGGGACCCATAACACTTTCCAGGAGGCTGCAGTAGTGCATCTCACACAGGTGCAGTCGAGAGCCAGCTGTGAAACAGCAGGGAGTAACAGTTAGCCTCACACTGCCAAGATGGCAGCCCTGGTACCCAAAAAAAGGGAAGAACAGGGCCAAGTGAAGACAGAGCTGTACTCCTGGGCTGGAAAGTGTCTGTTTATTAAAAGTCAGCAGATACAGTATTTGTAGCTGCTAAATGTAATCTTTTTATATGACCGAAGTTTCTCTTTAATAACTGTAACATGTGAAATAAAGAAAACTGTCCTACAATAACAGTTATTTTTACCTACAAGCTGAGCGCTGCCCCATATAAAAGGAAGAAACTGAAAGTCATCAAGGCCCCAGACCCCTTGGCTGCCAGCAGGCTCCATTCTATAGGTTTTCTGCAGCTTTCGCATAACTTCAAGGTAACTGCAAAATATAAAGAAGAGCAGAGGGAGAGAAGACATCAAAGTAATGCACGGACAATGGTCACATTCATGCAGCAATTACTACAAGCTACCAAGGAAGGCCTTTTACCGAGCACTTTGGTGGTCACCCTTAGGACCTAGTGAAGGGGCCTAAATATTGGACGTCTAGATCTTTCTTGTAGAGTAACCATACCCTTAGATGGTTCCTTAATATTCAAAATTCATATACACTGTGCATTAGCCAATCCCTCTGTTGGCTGTAATAAAGATCATCAAAATATCTCTACACCATTAATACAGGAAAACACAAATTTGTTTTTCCAAACTCCAGTCTGTCCGACCCTAGTACGGTAATTTTTTTCACAATCAAAAAGGTGTAGTATTTCCAGGTACACAATTAACTGCTACCCGTCCACCCTATAGTAGATATACTGCTACAGGGCGGTATGGGTGCGCAAAATCACGTATATATCCATGATTCTGCATTTCCGGGTAGGGGGTGCATGCTGCCATACGCGGCCACAGCTGTCAATCACTGGGTCCTGGCCACGGATTACTCGCCAGCGCCCGTTGATTGCCGAGGGTCTCCGACGGGGAGACCCTTTGATCGCCTCTCGTGTTAACCCCTTCCTGCCCAGTGCCATTAGTACAGTGTCAGTGCTTTTTTTTTTAGCACTGATCACTGTATTGGTGTCACTGGGGATGTCATTGACACGAAGTCCCTTCCCTCCAGTGTCAGAATGGCCGCCGCAGTCCCGCTATAAGTCGCTGATCACCGCCATTACTAGTAAAAATTAAAAAACAAATTCCAGTATATATATATCACCATTTGCAAACACTATAACTTTCATGTAAACCAATTAATTTATACGTATTGGGATTTTTTTTTTTAGCAAAGACATGTAGCAGAATACATTTTGGTCTAAATTCATGACGAAATTTGATTTTTTTAAATTTTTTTACTGGACATGTTTAAGGGCAAAAAGTGAAAAATATTATTTTCTCAAAATTGTCGCTTTTTTTTTATAGCAAAAAAATAAAAAATGCACAGGCGATCAAATACCACCAAAAGAAAGCTCAATTCGTGGGGGAAAAAAAAAAAAAAAGACACAAATTTAATTTGGGCGCAGCGTTGCATGACCACGCAATTGTCAGTTAACGTAACACAGCGCTGTAACACAAAAAATGGCCTGGTCAGGAAGGGGGGTAAATCCTCAGGAGGACAAGTGGTTAAATTTACACATAAAGTTTATAAATATATAACAAAAATAAGTTTACATAGTTTGTAAGGTTTAATAAAGACACTAGTCCATCCACTTGAACATGAGTGTGTGTGTTTACATCACTACCACTTTCCAAATCCCTGTCCATTATGCTCGCTAAGAAACACATCTAAAAGTTTTTGTTTGTTTTCTTACATTCCCCACTGACACCACAAACTGTGGAAGGGAGTTCCACATCTTTACTACTCGACCAGTAAAGAACACCTTCATGTAGCTTAAGATTGAACCAACCTCATTGTGTGGATGTGTGTCTTCTTTACAGACCTTGGGTTGAATAGTTTCCTCTCAACGCTGGAGTCACCATTTAAAGATTTCTATATTGTGATCCAATCCCCTAAGAATCTCTTCTCCAGGAAGAATATGTTTATTTTTTGGGCGGTCAGATTGTGCCCGCATGACCCAGTACCTTTAGTATTTAGGCCAACTTCTGCTCAGGCAGAAATCCATTAAGGACAAGAGGCATTAGGAGGTTTACCAGTGTTTGATCAGACTGCCATGCCACTGAAAAGTGCTAAAATACTAAAACCTGTAGGACAAGGGTATTGAATTAAAATTCACCAAGTCCGGGCCATAAAATTTCAACCAGCAGAGGTCTGAAACTCATGTAGGCACCTGTGGTGCATTTCTGTGTGTGCAAAACCGCATGTTGCTGCAGCGCGATTTTGAAAAAAAAAAGGGGTCGTGGGTCTCTGACCCACCCACAATGTTGGCACCAAATCTACATGTACAGATCTGAATCTGTTCTTACATCAGTGTCCTCATTCCACACTGCACATCACAGTCCCCTCCCCTTTCACAGCAAGATCCCCTCTTGTTGAATGTCCTCAGCTCCCCCTTTATATTACAATTCTCAGCCCCCCCACCATCACTTTAATGTCCTCAGCCCCCACACATCATAGTCCTCAGCCCACCCCATTTGAATGTCTTCAGTCCCCCCATATTTCAGTCTTCAGCTCCTACCTTTAATTATAATGTACACAACCTCCCCCCCACTACTGTCCTCAGTCCGCCCACATTACTGTTCTCAGACCCCCCACTTAATGTCCTCAGCCTCCGTCATTCAGTCCTTGGTTTCTTTTCACATCACTCCCCCACTGTCCTACCTTACACAGACAGCGATTGATTGCTAGGACTGCCCTTCATCTTAGCAACCAGTCACTTGCTTGTTAACATCGGGCAGCTCCTGTCTTTCATCCAGAACTCTCCTGTGTCAGCTCTGTGAGGATGACCACGTAATGGCTGGGGGAAGAAAAGGCTCCTAAATGGCGGGACTGCACCGGTCTGGATGGGGCAGTGACTCGGGTCGCATCCGGACCCCGATCCTCTAATTAGCGATGCCTGCTTTAGGGCCTGTCTTGATGGGCTTTTGCTTGAATAAGATCAGCATTGTATTCCTATATGAGTTTACCCACCAACTGTGGGTTCAATGGGCCTGCCAAAGAATTCTGAATGATCTCAGAAGCATTTCAAACTAAAGCTTTTCCTATCTATCGAAGCCCAGAGCCCATTATCACAGGCTTTTAGCCACAGACTGTCCCCCATGTTTATATAGTAAATGCATTTTAAAGTGAAGTGACCATTCCCATTTTTGTTTAGGTGACTGAAAAACTGCAGATATTTTTCATCAGAAATCATGAATGATCAACTTATTGGTTTGCCAATAACCCATTCAATGCCTAACTCCTACAAGGCAGGCCTGACAATGGCATTATATGGAAAGTATAACAGAAAATATAAAGTTTAGTGGCTTTTCCGCATTCGTTTATTTCATTCTTACCGATTGAAGACTTTGAAGACGATGGCAAGCTGATCATCCCCCTGAAGAACGCCGATTTTACACAAACAGAACAGGAAGGCGGCAAATGCAGCTTCATGCCCTACAAAGACAGAGAAAGGGCCGTGACTCCAGCAGATCATCACATTGACCCATTTGTGTTAAAATATTTCTTATTACAAACAGGCTTATTCAGCTAGATCTCATTCAAATGAGCGGCTATTGAGAGCCATTTTTCTTCTATGTCTATTCTATGGTATACTCATTTTTCTTGACTAGATGTGGTATAAACAAAAAACATAACTGTCACATTTATAAAAATGCATCTTGAAAAAAAAAAAAAAAAAAAAAAAAAAAGCCCTTCGATAATCATCAATGCAAACGACACCCGTGTAACTGCAGCCGGCATCTTGCATTCTTTTATGCCGAAGATAGTTCCCAGCATCTGTTCCTCATTTAGCGGGAAGAGACCCGCAGACTAAGCGCTGCTGAAAAACTTGTGCTTTAAGCAGAACAAAAAAGCAAGTTATTTTTACTCATTGACATAGCTTCAGCATATTGCACGGAGACCAATCACATCAGTCCTGATCACCAAAGGAGCTTACAATTCAATGTCACCACCACAGTCATAAAGATACACATGCCATGGCCACTTCAAAATGGAACCTGTCTTTTATGTGTTTAGGGTGTGGGAGATCATGAGATCAGATATGTGGACTGATGAAAACTGAGGCTATGATCCCAGTGCCAACAGGCAAAGCATGCTGTTATATTGCTCACTAATCAGAGTTTCAGATCCCTGGAAGATGAAATCTGGTTTAGCTGGCCATACACTGGTAGATTTTTGTATGAATGTTTCTATGAAGAATCTCATCAGTATAACTGAAAATGCCAACAGAGACTTCACGAATGTTGTTTTAAAATACTTTAAAATTTCTTTTGCTGTTAAGATTCGATTTTAGAATGAATGTTTTCCCATATGAAAAAAACATACATTGCTAGAAATGTGTTTGAAATTTTCCATCCTGATCCTTGGAATTTTCTTGCCACTATGGTTGAAAACGACCATCGATTTCACACCACGAAGGATTGGAAAATTGAACGAAATTCTACTAGCGGATGACCAGCTTTACTAAAACATATGTCATCACTGCTATTTTGCAAAGCCTAACTGAACAAGCCAGGTGGGCTCTAAAATCTGTCTCCAAACAGAAATTATTTTGTTAAATATCCCATTTCACAGTCCTATGGCAGCTGAGGGTCTAGATCTTCAGTGAATACTGAGCATTTATTTACACACATGAGTTTAGGCTCAGCAGAACTACAAGTCCCAGTGTGCCCTTGTCAGCCTCCACGCTTTGAGGATTGCAAACTGCCTGGCAGTGTACCGGCTAATTTAATCTGTGGCAGCTTCATTAGCATTCTAGTGGCATGCAACGCTCTCTGCCAGGGTGTATGTAAAACAGATGACTGCAGTATGGCTGCAATATACCCAGAATCCACCGCATGGACCCTGTCATCTACCACCTTTCCTGCCTACCCAGCTTCCTTCCCATCTCTGCTCCCACCCAGACTTCCCATTCCTGTACCTCAAATAGCCTCTAATGCCAGTTTAACTCCTTCTGCAAAAGCTTTCTCATAATGCCAAAAGTAAGGTCACCCCACAGCCAGATAGAATCAGTCATAAAAACCTGCTGTATGCAAATACAAGTAGATTGTTATGTGCATAGCCATTGTAGGACAAAGGAGCAATTTGATCATGTAACCTTCCTTAGATTTACTGACAATTATGTAGTGCCACAGCCTACATGATCAGATATAAACTGAATGGGTTGTTTAGGTGAGCCTTCTTGGTAGAACTAAAGCTGGCCACACACGTTACAATCTGATTATGCAATTTCCATGTAATCTCCTCTGGATTTACAGGCCCTTATACTACATAGTTATTGACGGATCTAAAAGAGTTTGTCCAGTCATATTGTAATGTGCATGATGGACTTTTGACCCTGTTACTAAAATCCACATGGAAATAGAAGACATCTAATACCTCTTGTGGTGCCTGCACCACTGATCTCTACTGTAGACAACAGAAAATCACACTTATACAAGCTGCAGAATCTAACACTTTCAGGAACGTCCTGGTCCGATCTGCCGGGCCCCTACATTACTACTGTGTCCTGTAGTGATGAGGAACCACAAAGGGGGGACAAGGAATCTGCACTCGCAAAAGTGTTGGTTTCTGCAGCTTCTTCAACTGGTGCTGTCTCATGACTACAACAGTGGTCGGCGGCTCCAGAACCAGGAAAGGTGCTAAGATATCTGCTTTACAGGAGGCTCTCCACGTGGACTTTAAGTCGTTAAGGGAATTGTACATATTGTACAGTTACATTGCAAGATGTGTGGGCAGCTAAGAAATTTGTGTGGATTTTTAGTAAAGTGCTTTGTGCAACCATCAGAAGCCACCAAAAAGAGCTTGCCATAGAGGGATGCAATATATTCTAACAGTAGGGAGGATTCTTTGATCCACCTAGCTTGAGTGGATGGGGGAATCCGCTTGTATTTTTTGACTGCCCGCTGGCTGATTGAAAAAAAATAACAACCCATCAATGGCCTGTCTTACAAATGCACACAATATTTATGTATTTAGACTTGTCACTTATGACATTTCCATTAACTGAAAGTGCAGTTACCATATCATTTGAGCCTGTTGCATTAAAATTATATAAATAAATTAAACTCTATTTTCCTGTACTATTAGATCCACTGAATGCAAACTGCAACCATCTAAAGCAGTGATCTCCAAACTGTGACCTGAGGGCCAGATGTGGCCCTTTGCTTGCCCTTATCTGGCCCTTGGGGAACAACTCCACCAACTGACACCTATGATGGCACACCATTCCTCCCACTGACACCATCAATGGCACTATTCTTCCCATTGATACCAACAATTGGTCTTTCTTCCTCCTGATAAAACCCATAATGGGGCACTGTTTATGCCCACTGATTTCTGGGCATTTTATACTCCCATTGGCCACAGTCCAGCCCCCCTAAAGCCTGAAGGACATTAAACTGGCCCTTTTCTTAATAAGTTTAGAGACCCCTGATCTATCACAAATATCTGCCAAAGAGCCATGCCAAATTAGGATTTTCTCACTGGTAACAAATCCACAGATTCTGAGAATGAACTTACCTTTACCCAACAAGCAACGCAGCAAGGCAATGCTCCACTGCTGCTCCCTCTTCAATCAGCAAAGGAGTGAATAAGCTGCCACTAGCCAATACAACATGGCATCTGTGCACTAGGGTGCATTTTCAAGGTACACTGGGTTCAGATGAATGGCACCACCCCACCAGTCATTCAGCCATTACTTTCCAGAGGGGTGTGAAATTCACTTGGGAAGTACAGGCAATTACGGTATTTGATCAATTATGCCAAATGTTACATATTTCTTTGCCATTGCTACTATAACCAACTCATTCCAAAGCAAAATCTAAGGGGTGTATAATCAAAAAATTCACAAGGCTGTTCATCCATCGAAACTGCATGTAAATTCATCCTGTGTGAATGGAAAAAAACTGAATACTCTCTGGCTATATTTTCTGCAGTTTTAAAGTGGAAAACAGCACATTATGAACACTAAGGGGGTATTGACTATCATAGGAAATAAGTACATTCCTCCTTGCCATCTAATGGCCATAATGCGATACAGTCCACATTCACGTATTCGAACTGTGGAGAATATGGCCTGAGACCATTCACAGAGAACAAATTTACATGCAGTTTTGATAGATGAACAGCTATACATTTTTTTTATAAATTCAACCATTGGTGATAATTAGCTTCTGAGATGTAAGTTGCTTATCTGCCAATGTTCTAAATGATCTATTGCTTTTAACTATAAATTTTTTTTTTTTTTTTTTTTTTAAATCAATTTTTAGCCAAAAAAACATGGTGTAAGCAATATATTTTCTAAAGGCAGCTCTGTTTGAATCTTGTTTCAGAAACTGGGAGGGCTTCTAATACTCAAGTAATCTAAATCAGATGCAAAAATAATTCCACTTATGTGCTCCAGATCACAGGGCTCAATTGGCGGGCATCATCCTGATTGACCCTTCATGAAACTTGTATTGGTCGATAGAAGCTTTTCTTATCCTCGAAACAGACCTGCTGAGACATACTGAAGGAGAGGACCGACCGAATACATAGGTCCAACTTTTTAAATTCTTCAACCCGTATGTGGTTTGTTAAAGTTTTTCCACAAAAGGATAGTTGTTTTTTCAAAGTGAACTGGGTAATGTGGTCAGTTTCATGCAAACACCACTTACCAAGCTGTAAGAAAAATTTACAGCTCAACAGCAACCATGTCTACAGAGACTGGAAATATTCACTGACAGATTGGTGAAAATACCAAGTGTGAGCGGAAGTATTTGCTGAAGGCACATATACTAAAACTCCAAGAGGCTGAAATGACAGTAAAACCTGTCTTGCACTGGTGTGACAGCATTCTCCAAAGGCCAGGAGAGGTTATTAATGCTTTGCACATTTCTCATCCTCTCAAATGTTGCTACACAGCACCAAGCCTAGTGGAGGATCGTTGTTAAAAGCTAGCGTAAGATATAATTGTGACCATACCATAAGAGCCAATCAGTGGACACCTGACAGCTAACAGCATTACTGTCAGACACATAAGTCATTGTCTACAGTGTACCCCCAATGTCTGATAATGTGGACAGGGCAACAGTCAAGAATTGAGAAAAGAAAAAACTGGCCACTGAAAGGTCGAAATTCAGCCAGTTCAGCAGGAACCAACCAAATTTCGATCAATCTATGGGCAGGCTGGTTGTACTGAAGTCAATCGATACAACCAACCTATCGGGCTTTTTCACCAAATTACTGCCAGCAGCTATAGCAGCCAGCAGTGATCACTGTATTCTGTTAGCGGGGAAGGCTCCCCACAGTGGAACACAATAGCACAGCAAGAGGGATTGAAGGAAAGAAAATTGCTTGATTAGGGGGAATTAAGCAATTTTCTTTCCTTCAACCCATGTTGCATAATGTATGGCCTGCCTGAATATAAATGAGAAAAGTCGGTGAACATAAAT